CTATTTTAAAAAAATAATTACTTATATTGCTATTTTTAATGTCGGAAAATTTTTAATTTAAAATAACCTAATTTTTTATTTTAAAGACTAAAAAACAATATCAATATATAGTCTAGTTTTTTAATTTTCAGTAATTTATAAATGCAGAAGTTAAAGTAAAACTTTTATTTTATAATTGTTTTTAAAACAAAGATGGTTTTTTGCCTACTGGGATGCTACATTTTTTAAAACCATAAACAATTAAAATAATTATTTTTTATTTACAGCTACTTTTTGGGGTAACCCTACTCAACAATTAATCGACGATTTAATTGAAGTAACAGTTCAGGCGGAAAATAAAGAAAAAAAATATAAAAAACAAACTGAAGTAAAAAAAAATAAGAAGATGAAAATATGAAATTCATGTATATAAATTAATATTTAATATATTATTCAGTTTTAAACGTTCAATATTTTTTTACTTTTTGAAATAAAATAAATTTTTTTATAAAATGAATTATTACTTTATTTAAATTCAATATTTTATTTTGAATATCTTTTTCTTTTTTGTAAAATTATTACAGTCTTCAATAATTTAAAATAAAATTAGAATTTTTTTAAGAAATGTAAATAAAATAAAAAAAGAAAAATAAAGTAAATAAAAATATATATGTACTTTTTATTAATTTTTGAATTAAAATTTCTGTTTAAAATAATATTTGAAAATATTGAGATCACCTTTTGCTAACTTCAAACCCGAAACAAACGAAAGTAAGAAATTTGTTTATAAACTGTCAAAGTTATAGATCCTCAAATCATATTTTGACATGATGTAAGAAGCACAAAAGATTGATTATAAATGATTGATTATAATTAAAAATCAAGATCTATCACATTAATAAAAAAGTCTTTTACAATGACAAAAAAAAATAGAGATGCGTAAGAAATATAATTTGGAGAACAAATATATTAATTGATATTTACAATAAAAATCTTGCCAATCTAAGATATTTCCACAAAAACATAATGGAGACCAGGTAAACACAAAAAGAGAATATATAAGAATAAAATATTTTATTCAAATTTCTCAAATTATAACTGTGATAGGTCTTAATCAATTAATCATTAACTTTCAGCATAACATATTCCTAATTATAACCTAATATTTAACGTTTGAAAAATTTTGAAAAATTAAGTAAATAATTTATTTTCTTTTTGACAAAAAACCAAAAAAAATTTATTTATTATGTTATTATCACTTTTTATGTGACTTTAACGTTTAATGTTATTTGTTTAAGAGACGTTCTTTTCAAAAATGTTCTTTAATTTTATTTCGGATATACAAATAATTATTAATAAATATTTTATTTGACTTTTAAAAATTATAATTGTAATGACAAATTATCACTCACAAAGTAAAATACAAAAATTCACATAATTAATTTAAATTAGATTTTCAATTTTCTGTTTCAATAAAAAAATGCATTTATAATTAAATGTTGTGCAAAATTGTTGTTTTTAAACATACATCGTTAAAACTAAATTAAATAAATAAACTTTTAGTACATACAATAATCAATTTATTTAATTTGAAAGTCACAGACAGGTAGCTTGAAGAAAATAAATAAAGTTTTTAAAAAATGGATAAAAAAGAAAAATTTTTTATCCTATTTATTTAATTCCATTCTTTTAATATTTGTAAGGAGAAGCACAGTAGTCCTATTAAAATATTTTATTTTTTTAACATTTTCTATCAAACTTACGACAAACTGCCTTTTTTGACAAGGAAAATATGTAGTAAATTTAAAGGAGTTAAAGATTTAAAGTTAAACAAAGTTTTTATTATTAAACCTTCGTCAGTCACATCAAATTTCGTAACCTTCCTGGTCGCTTGTGAACTAAAATTATTCGCAACATAATTTATTAAATTTAATTTTTTTACAAATTTTAAAAATTTTTGTTAGGGTTAGATATTGTTTATTAAATATTACATTATTTTTTATTATTATTTAATATTAAAAATAAAAAATTAATAATTAAATTATTAATTAAAAAAATCTATTATTGCATACGCAATTAGTGGCACAGTGAGAAGTTTCCTCACTTTGCGTCAAAAATTCCAAAGATTTCCAACTTTCAAATTCAATAACATGAAAAAAAAATGTTTTAATATATAAAAAAACAAAGTGCTGTAAAAAGTTCTTGGACTATGTAAATATAATTTTATATATTTTACGATATATAAATAAAAAAAATGGGTGAGGGATTCGTTAACCATGGAACTGACGGAGGGTTGGTAGGATAAATTAATTTGTTTATTTCATGTTTCTATATATATTTTGTAGATGACTTATTGAATGTACCACTTTGCATGTCGAATATTTCGCTGATCATTGATTTTCCTGTATGACGACGATCGTTTGTAAAAAGATAAGTAACTACACTGTTACATAACTAACATCTTTTTTTTCATAAAATGAAACTTTCATCTCTGAATAATTCTAACAAAAAGAAAAAAAAAGTAAAAATTAAGAAACAAATAAGTCACAAAAAAAATTAAGGTGTAGAAAAGTATATTTGAGAAAATATTATAAAAATTACAGAAAAAATGAATTGTGTCGTAATAAACATAATTTTATTAATCGCAATAAAATGAAAATAATAAGACAAAAAAAGGAATATTCCTTAGTAGAAAATGAAAAAAATATTTTGCGCAATAAGATATTGTTAAAAAATAAAAATTATCAAAAGAGTTTACTTGTCGCGAAAATCAAATAAGAACTTTGAAATATAAAAAATATAAAACCCAGAAATTAAAGATAGAAAAAATTCGTTATGAGAATAAATTGGCAAAACAAGTGGAAAGATTAAATGAAATTATCCGTTATAGGACAACATATTCAAACAAATTAATCAACGATGTTAAAAACGGTTCAGAACAGTCAAAATTAATATTAAATTTTATTAAAAGCAGAACACAAGGTCCAGATTTAATTTGTATCTGTTGCGACAATTTATTTTTTCGAAAATCAGTTGAAATTGTTAACTTGGAAAAAATTAAATTAAAATTAAGTTTATTTAAAAACATTAATGTAGACCAATTTTTAAATCAAATTCTAAACGTATCTTCCGAATTTATTTGCAAAACTTGTCTCTTTTCCATTTCAAGGGGAAAAATTCCAGAAGCTGCTGCAATTGGCAGTATAAAATTTCCAAATGTACCTTTGGTTGTAAAAAATCTTTCTCTTCTGGAAGAGAGAATGGTTTCTCCATATATCCCGTTTATGCAAATTTTGGCTCTCCAACCATATGCACTAAATCCTCAGTTGTCTTTAAAAGGAAGTGTAGTTAATATTTCAGTTGATATAAATGAAATGATAACAACACTTCCTAGAAATTTTAATTCATTATCAACACTTCAAATAAAATTAAAACGGCACATGGAACACAAATCTGATTACATGCATGAAACAGTGAGACCACACCTAATTTTCGAAGCTATTGATTATTTAAAAAACACACCATTATATAAAAAATATAAAATAACTATAAATAAAGATTTTTTTCAAAGATACGATAAAAACATACTAAACAAAACAGAAATTCAATTCATTGTGAGTCCTCGAAATGAAATCGATCAAAAAAATATTAAATTTAACACCAATGAATTAAAATTATTTGATGACGATGATAAGGAATTTTCTGACACATCTGATCAAGTTCATCTAGAATCTGATAAATTTGAAGTTAATGATGAAGTCTTGGTCATTGACAGAAATAAAGAAATTTGTGACGCCGTAAAAATTATAGCTCCTGGTCAAGGAAAATTTCCAAAACCTTGGCATTTAATTGACAATATTGACGAATTATGTTTTCCGACAATTTTTGGTGGTTATCCTTTTGACACTGACAATAAACTGACGTATTCAAAACGCGTAAAATCTGAATGTCGACGAAGTGACAGGAGATCTTGTCATTCTATAAGACTTCTTTTCATGGCAAAACGTAAATTAGAAAAATCTGTGTTATCTAACTTAAATATTTGTTTAAAAAAAATAAAAAATGTCAATTTAAATGCAAATTTGGCTAAAAATTCATCAATAATTGATTCTTTAATTAAACATGATGAGGGGTATCGATTTTGAAAATTAGTCAGATCCTCACCTGCATTTTGGCAAATGAAACAAAAACACTTAATGTCTTTGATTAGACAGAAAGGTGTTCCCACTTTTTTTATAACTTTGTCCGCTAGCGAAATTAAATGGACAGAGTTATTACAAATACTTTTCAAAATTAAGCACGGCAAAAGTTTGAGTAAAATTCAAGCTCTTAATCTTGATATGCATATAAAAACCAAATTAATTCGTGAAGACCCTGTCACTTGTGTCAGATATATTGAAAATCGATTTTTAGAAATAACGAAAATTTTGGGAAATAAAAACGGTCCCTTTGAAAACTATTACGTAACAGACTTCTTCGAACGTAGAGAATTTCAAGCGAGAGGATCGGTTCACTCTCACGGTGTTTATTATTGCAAAAATGCACCAATTTTAAATGATCATGATTTAGAGTCACGAACATCTTGCATAAAATTTATCGATATGTTTATAACTTGTAAATACGATCCTAAAAACCCCTACATGACATTTCAAAGACATAAACACAAAGCTACTTGCTATAAAGGACGGAAAAATAAGAATCAATGTAGATTTCGTTATCCGATGTTTGTAATGAAAAATACAATGATTCTAGATCCTTTATCAGATGTAGAAAAAGAAAATAATATAAAGAAATCGTCAGAAAATTTAAAAAAAATTAAAGAATTAATGAAAACATTTTTTGATGAAGTGAGATATGAACCATTTGATGTAATTTTAAATACTTTAAAAATTTCGGAAGAAGATTACATATTGGCAATAAGAAGTTCATTAAAATCACCTCGAGTTTTTTTGAAAAGAAGAAGCCAAGATGTAGCAATCAATCCATATAATGAGACGATATTAAATTTAATAGAATCCAATATGGATATTCAATTTGTGTTAGATCCCTACTCTTGTGCTTCTTATATGACAAACTATATTACAAAAGTTGATGCAGGTCTGAATAAATTACTAAGAGAAGCGGCGTTAGATATTCAAAACGGTAATTTGTCTCTAAGAGATAAATTTAGAAAAATCGGGAATGTGTTTATTAATGGAAATATCTTATCCGCTCAAGAAGCCGTTTATCATTGTTTATCAATGCCATTAACTAGATGCAGTATTGCCGAAGTTTATATAAACACCGTTCCTTCTGAACAGCGTGTAAGGATGTTAAAATCTAAATCAGAATTAGAAAATTTAAAAAATGATTCCACTGATGTGTTTTATCAAAATATTTTTGAGAGATATTCTAAAAGAGACAAAAACTTAGAATCAATTTGTTTGGCTGAATTCGCGGCAAATTATAAACCAAAAATCAAAAAAGTGAATCAAAATTATGAAAGTAGTGATGATGATAATGGCACTGATAAAGATGATAACGGAGATGATATCGATACAGAATTGACGTGTGCTACTAAACAAAACAAAAAATTTAAATTAATTAGATATCGAAATTATAAATTAATTCAAGACAGTTATAATTATTACCGAGAACAAATTTTGCTCTATTTTCCTTGGAGAATAAAATGTAATGAAGTGGAAAATTGTAACGTAGAAGAAAAATTCCATAAAAACTTTTCAATAATAAATCAAAACAAAATAAAATTTAACATACTAGATGATGAAATCATTGAAAAGGCAGTTCAAGAAGTTGAAAATTATAATGAGTCTGACAATGAAATTAATAATTCTAGTGTTCCAATTCGTCAAAATTACGAAGTAGATATTATCGGTCAATCCAATGTAAATGGTTATTCCTACAATCAAAAAACGAGAATCACTTGTCCAACTCTAGTAGAAAAAGAAATAATGTTAGAGTCAATAGATCAATTAAATTTTAAACAAAGACTTATTACGATGCATGTTTTAAATTGTATAAAAACTAACAAAACTCCTTTTAAAATATTCTTAAGTAGTTCTGCTGGAGTTGGCAAAAGCAAAGTGATAAATTGCATTTATCAATTGGTATCACACTACTTTAATCAAATTCCGGGAATAAATAAAGACACTCCTAAGGTAATGTTATGTGCATTGTCAGGAAAAGCAGCTTTCTTAATTAATGGCTTAACATTACATACGGCATTTGCTTTACCTATTTCAAAATGTAACCAAAGTATGCCTGATTTATCATCTAGTATAGCAAATACTATTCGCGAAAAAATGATTGACGTAAAATTATTAGTAATAGATGAAATATCAATGGTTGGTAGTACACTTCTATCCCGTATCGATACACGGGCAAGACAAATTACTGGAGTAGATCAAAGTTTTGGGGGAATGTCAGTTCTTGCTGTCGGTGATCTGCATCAACTTCCACCTGTTATGGATAGACCAATATACATGCCAGCAAACAGTTCGTCTTTAAGTATATTTTCATGTAATATTCTTTGGGATGAATTTAAATTTTTTGAATTGACAGAAATTATGCGTCAAAAAGATGACAAATTTTTTACCCAGGCACTTTGTAATTTGGCTATGGGAAAATTAACTGAACAAGATAAACAACTTTTTTCGTCAAGATTAGTAAAAAATGAGAATGAGGTACCCAATGATGCAATAAGATTGTATACTGAAAATAAATTAGTAGATTTATACAATAATAAAAAAATTAAAGATTCAAATGGAAAGTCATTTACATCCAAGGCTGTGGACCATATTTCAAATAATCAAAAAAATTCTAATAAAAATAAATTATTAACTTATCTAAAAAACAAATCTGAATGTGGGGGTTTAATATATTCCTTATTACTTAAAATTGGAATTAAATACATGATCACTTCTAACGTGGACGTAGAAGACGGATTAGTTAATGGTGCTTGCGGTGTTTTAAAGTACGTGACTGAAAATCTTAATGACAATTTTTTGACAATAGTTTGGATGGATTTTAATGACAGTAGAGTAGGACAAAAAATTCGTTGTTCATATAAAAAATACATGGAATCTAATAATCTGAATGCAACTTGGGTACCCATTCTCAAAACCAAAATTCCAATCAAATTTACTGAAAGGTATCAAATAATTCGCGAACAATTTCCTATTGTTCCAGCCGAAGCAATTACAATTCATAAGAGTCAAGGACAAACGTATGATAAAGTGTGCGTAGATTTTAGAAAAAACTATAAAGTATCGAGGCAAATACTTTATGTAGCTTTCAGTCGCGTTCGTTCTTTAAAAGATTTATATATTTTTGATGATTTAAATTGTATAGATAAATTCAAAATTGATAATTCATTAAAGCAAGAATTGGAAAGATTAAATTCAAAAAAAAAATTACAATTATCATACGTTCATGAAATTCCAGGTAATAAAGTAAAGATCATTTACAATAACGTTCTGTCAATTTCAAAAAATTTAAAACACATATTATCTGATCCATGGTTTATGCAGGCAAATATTTTAATTTTTTCGGAAACACGACTAATTAAAACAGATTGTATCAATATTCCAGGCTTTGTAACAGCTGTTCGATCTGATTGCATTGACAATAAATTACCCCGGGGTTTAATATGTTTTATTAAAAAAGAATTAAAATTTGATGTAATAGATCATATTACTGAAAGTAATAGATCTGAATGTGGTTCTCAACATCATGTTGATATGTTTTGCATAAGGGTCAATGATTTTAATATTATTAGCGGTTATAAATCTCCGAGTACACCGACTAACATGTTCAAAAATAATTTGAATAAAATTTTATTGAAACTTGAAATTAACAAAAACAAAATTTTTATTGGTGATTTTAACTTTGATTGTTTTTCTGAAAACAATTTTTTGGAACAATTTTTAAATAAAAATGACTTTAAAAGAGCAATTCCCTTAGGCATAACAACTACCAATTTTAATACGCAAATTAATGTTATCTTTATTTCAAATAATATCATGAGTTTTAAGGCGGGAGTTTATGAAACAATTTTTTCCGATCATAAGCCTATTTTCATTGGAGTTTCAGACGCAAATTTCACTTCAATACATTCAAGCAATAAAACCGACACTGCTTTAGTTGAAGACAAATTGAAAATTAAATATGACAAAAGTATTTCTTTATATGTTGAATTTGACATGCTTTGTGATGATAATAGTAATAAAGACAGTTGTTTATTTGAAGAACTTGACTTCTCTTACGATAATGACAGTACAAATGATGTTGATTATAATGTGAAAAAAATAAATTTGAATAATAATTTGACAAATATCGTAAATTCAAAAGACAAAAGCGACATTATTTCATTTGACAATATATTACAAATTAACGACATTAATATTTTTTGTGAAAATGATAATAAAGAACAGTGCCATGATGAAAAAAAAAATTTAATAGAGTATTTGTGGACTATAATTTGTTAAATCAAATTAATATAAATGTCTTGACTAAAAACTCATGGTTGGAAGATATTTCTCTTGATAAATTTCTGGAAATTGTACGTGCAAATACAAATTTTCAAACAATATCAACATTGTATTTACAAAGACCTGAAAATATTGATGCTATCTTTGAAAATGAAAAAGACGTTCAAATTGTTGGTGGCTTATCAAGCAATCATTGGCATTGCTGCTATTATAATGGTTCACATCTTATTATTTACGACAGTCTATACTTTAATAAACACACATATAAAGATTTAATGCCCGAAGAAAAAAAATATATTAAAGCACGTTATCCAAATTTAAAAATTGAAAACATTAGATTTGCAAGTGTTACGTCCGAAGATATAACACAAATAATTCCTTTTTTTATATAATATTTTATTTAAAAAATCCTATATAATTTAAATTTTTGAGTCTAGACTCTCGTCTACTAACTCGGGAATTTTCAGTAATAATTTTTGTTGAAAAATAAGGAATTGAATTTAAAAGGACGTGAGAAAAAATTTGATGCACAAATTTTTGCACCTTAATTTTCTCGGAAAGGTAAATTTAAAAAATTGTTAAAAATGGTTTGACAAAATAACGAGGCACATTTTGCCCCAGAATTTGTCGGAATTGATAGAAAGGTTAAGAAGTGAAAAGAATTTATAAATCATAATTTTATTCTTTTCGACTTACTTTTATTTAAAATATGTTTCAAAAATTTGTCCAAGAAAAACTGCAACTTTTCCAGAAAAAATATGGCGGCAACACTTGAATATTTGAATTTAAATTTTTAAAGAATTTAAAAGTTTTTAATTTTAGAACACTTAAAATTTGATATAAAAGAAAATAAAACTCAGAAAACTTTCACGAACTTTTAAGAATTGTTTTTAAGAAAAGAAATAAGATTTGAAAGAACTAGTTGAATTGCTTGAACTGATTGAACTGAATTTTTCTATAAAGAATTCTTGTTTTTAAAGAATTGTCCCTTCCCCAAAATTCAGGGTTGGAAATAAAAATTTTCAAGTGGTGGAAAAAGAGGTTGGAAAAATCTAATGATTGGTTTTACTAAAAGAAAATGAAGAAAAAGCATTATTGTCTTAGGTCAGGATTGGGTCTTTAAGTCCCAGCCCTCGAAAATAGGGAAGTTTCAAGGGCGTGTCTTGAGTGAGATAACTTGCTCTTGAAGAGGGGGCTTAACTCGACATTTCCGTAAAGATGGCGAAATTATAATTTTTCTTGGACAATTTTCTTATTTTCTACAATTTTCATATTTTTATACTATTAATTAATTAACAATAATTGTTTATGTTAATATTAAGCAATACAATTAATTTCCTATAAATTTAATTACAAATTTTATTAAAAAATCTAATTTTTAATTATATATTGAACTTTACACATTATTTATTAATAAAAGTTATTTCTATTATTTATTTATTAATTTTAGATTATTTTTATAATAATTTATTAATAATAATGTATAAAATTCCCTATATATTATTTTTTATAATTAATATTTATTTTAACTAAAAGTTATTTAAATTTTTTATGTATAGGAAATATATCGATCAACAATCGATTATCGATTATCGATATTCGATATATTTAATTAATTAATTTTTAAAAATTTGAATTATTAATTTTAAAAAAGTTATACATTTACAATTTATTAAATGTAAACTATTTTCTTATATTATTTTATTTATAAATAATGTAAAAGTTATTTTAATTATAAATAATAAGGAAAAATTATTATAAACAATATATTTTATAATGTACAATTATTTTTATAAAAAGAAAAATAATTGAATTTTAACTTTAAAAGATACAAAAATTTAATATTTTTCAAATAGTTTTACATTATTTATTAATATTTTATTAATGTAAGGTTGAAAATAATATTTTATTTACAAAAATTATTGTTGTTAATTTTTAAATTGTAAATATTAATATTATTTTTCTATCTATACCGAGAAGAAAACTATATATAATATATAAAGGAATTTATATTCTAAATTTAAAAGGAATCAGCACAATAGAGATCATAAAAGGGGCCGCTTAATGGGTTTCAGAGTCCCATAATCACCACGAGATATGATCTCTCCAGGTGATTTTTCGGAAACAATCATTGTATATATATTGGACTTTCTTACTTTTGAATTTTATGATTTTATTTCTTTAAACTTGGAGTTTGTTGATTTTTGAGCTAAAGATATAAATATTGATTTTAATTCTTAAGATTTAAGAAAGTCCAATATATCTCCATAAATTTTTCTTATAATCTTTTAAAAGGAGAAAAAATATATATATAATAAAATCAAGTAATTTCATATTTTCAAGATGATAACGTCACCGGACGTTACACCCCCACCGTAAAATGGTTACTTGAGGATGCAAGACGAAAAGTGACCATAACCTTAAGAAATAATCAAGTTTTGCTACATAAACCCTTTTTTTATATCAAATAATAATAATATAAGAAAGTAAAGATTTTGTTTCAGTTGTTTAAGAATTGCTTATATGACAAACAGCATTTTGTTAAGTCAGAAAGAATTTAATGCAAATTGAAGATATTCTTAATCATAATGATTGATTAAGGTGTAGGCGAATTTTCAATAGACGAATTTCTTGATACTGTTTCTGGAACATTTCTAAAAGATAGTATGTATCTTTTAGTTGACAAATTTTTCTTTCCCAATTGATGGAATGAAATGTTTGGTTGATAACATTTCTGATAAATTGACTTTTGGTTAACGTGTTTTAAAACAATAATTCCATTATTGTTTTGTTAGATGATGATATATTTAATGGTTGTTGTCACACATTAACTAATGAATTTAAATATAGATTCATTTTAATGTCCGAATTTATATGCATTTCGGAATAAGTTAACTTTTGGTGGAAGTTGAATTATGAGTATATTGTAAACTCATTTCTAATTGTTGTAGAGACATAAAAGGTATAGAATCTTCATAAAACGTCTTCTGCTTGTTTTCCAGATATGTTAGCCATTGATATGTGTTGAATGTACAGTTGCTTCACGATAAGGATCAAATTCAATCAGATTATTAACTTATACATATTTAAAATACAACCAATTTCTCTTGCAACTGCAACTTATTTAATTTTACTTTTCTTTTACAATTTATGAATTATTGAATTTTTTTTAAAAATGATTTTTAGTCTTAACATATAAATTAAATTTTTAATAATTGACCGCAAAATAACTTAATACTATTCAGAATTGTACAAAATTTTGTTGAATTTCTTGATTTTACAAAAATTGTTGATTACTGTTGAGTTGTTGTATTCCTTATAATGGTGTTGGTTTTCTTGAGAATCCTTACAAATATTTATAATTATTAAATTTCTTTTTTGATTCTATATAATGCAAAATTTTCCTTTAATTGAAACTGTAAAAAAAAATTTCTGATATTTTTTTATAAATTTCGATTTAGTTTAATCTGTAACATATAAGAAAAATATTAATTTACAAGAATAAAAAAAAATTTCTCTTTTTTTTTTAAAATAAAAGAAAAATTAACTTTTGTTTATATGTCCTGTTTATTTATTTTTTATTAATCAATTATGTGTTCTTATTCATTACAATTCAATATATTAATTATTATATACTTTTAATAATTTTTCACTTTAATATTTCTGATTTAGAAAAGTTGATTTTAAATTAAAGATAAAAATTTTCATTGCGTATGAGATAAAAATCTCTGTTGTGTCTGAAAGTAATTGAAACTT